TATTATTATTATTATTATTATTATTATTATTATTTTTACTTTTTACTTTTTACTTTTTACTTTTACTTTTACTTTTATTTATTTTTATTTTTAATTTATTTTTATATTTTTACTGTTATATTTACATTTAAATATTTATATATTTACATATTTTCTCATTTATATATTGATATAGTCGTACACTTATATACTTATACATTTACATATTTATATGTTTCTATAATTATATACTTTCATATATTTATATACTCATATAAAGATGCATATTTGTATATTTAGACATCTATATATTTATATATCTATATATTTATATATTCACATATTAATATATTAATATATTCACATATTATATATTTATATATCTATGTCTTTATGTATTTATATATTTGTATGTTTACGTATTTATATATTTACTTGTTTACATATTTATATATTTATGACTATTGCTGTTGCCGCTGTCGTCGTTACTGCAGTTCTGATGCCCTGCAGACGACAGCATTCAGAAGCAGCAGCTGCAACAAAGGTTGGAGCAGAAGAAGAAGAAAAGTAAAATTAAAAGCAAATTAAAAAAAAAAAATTTTAGTTTTTTTTTTTTTGTTTTTTGGTTTTGGGTGGAGTTCTCAGGTAATCAACGAAATTAGACATTAGACAATACTTACACAGTTCAAAGTTGAGAATTCTATTTGCAAATGCTTAAGTCAACAAAAAAAAACCTGGTGTATTTATCCAGAAACCTCGTTGTGCTTCTCTTATATTAAAAGAAAAAAAAACGTTTTTTATTTTATTACAACCTTCTTAAAATACAAAAAAAAAAGAAAAAGAAAATAAAAAATTTTCTTTTCATTTTAATTTTTACAGTAAATTTACTGAATGTAATAACTGCCAAAGAACTGAAGTGTATTCTTTTACTCTGTTTACATTATCGTTTCATTTTTTTTTTACTTTATTCTCAAATGTTTTATTTCCTATTTCTTTTTCTTTTTAACCTTAATAATACGTCAATTAGAAAAAAAAAAAGTAAGACAAGAAAGCTGTGGTTCCACATTAACATCTGAAAGTTGTTAAAGAAAAAAAAAAAGTTTGCCTAAAGATGACCAAACACATTTTTATCTTTGTATTAAAAAAATCTAATGAATCAGTAAGACGAATGGTCACATTTGAAGATGTTTGCAAAGGAAAAACACCCAAAAACACATTTATCCAAAACATTTCAACTGCAAATTCTTCTTACTTCTTTTTTTTAAAGTTTGTCTACGTAATCAAAAAAATTTATACTATTAACCACAAATTCCTTCTCTGTAACTTACGGGGGTGCAAAAGTGTCCACTTTTACACCTTATACTTAGTCAATTCTGAGGACGGTTTTAACTTCCTTGATGACGTCATCAATCAGTCATCAATAGTCAATCGAAGGCATTTATTTTGGCTTAATCTATCTGGTTATCTTCCAAATAATACTTGGCAAAACAGTTGTTGCCAAACTTTGATAACATCAAAAAAACATAAGACTACACATTGCCAGGTTATAAAGTAAAAAATGAAAAACTTGATGTTTTTTTTCAATTGGCTTTTAAAGATTAATACAATGATTAATACATCAATACAAATTCTAATAACAGTAATAAACAGCAAGAAACCTCTTCCAGTGATTATTAAAATTCTAAATGTTAGCAATCACTCATCAAAAAATTATTCAGAAACAACAAAGTGGTTTTTTTAATTTATAAAACTATTATTAGTTTCAATCAACTGATGTTTTGTTTTTACTTATAGGATTGTCGTTTTCATCCTCATTAGCTTTTTCGCCTACACACCCGTATTGGTAAGTTTTTCTTTCTTTTTTTGCTCACTAAATATCGTATGTAATTTTATCTTACAAAAATTTAACACAAACCTTAGTCTACTTTTTCTAATCATTTGTTTTATGACACAATAAAAAAAACTGAAAATGATATGCTCAAGTAAAAAAGCAATGTCACCAATTCAACAAAAAAAATTTATAGCTCAAATATACTTCCTGAAAAAACTGTTTTGCCTGATAAATTATAGCCAAAAAAAAAGAAGAAAAACCGTTTCTTTTTTCCATTTCAGGGGAATTCAGTTCTATGCATAACGATATCATGTGGTACAGGAAGTGGCGTTTCAACAGGTACTTTTTTTACTGTACCCAAGTTTTAGATCTATAAACTCTTTAATTATCATTTATTTTCTTTTATTATATATTATAGCTACTAATTTATTGCCATTTATGTCTTTTCTTTAAATACAATTAATAAAAGGCTAAAAATGAAATTTAAGTATTAACTTAATACAAATTGTCTGAGCATTCTAAGTTGTTTAGACCTGAAAATTATAGCGTCTAAATTTTCCAGTGTATTGACTAAAAAATCAAAGCAGATTGTCCAGAAAAAAAGCCATATAACTTAAATATATCTGTAGAAAAGAAAAGTAAACGAGCTGTTGTTTATACATTTCTTAATTTTTCATATACTTTTCTTTTTTTTTTTTTATTGGTAAATAAATGTAGTAAAAAAATCAAAAAAATCAAAATCAAAAGAAAAAATTAACTCCTTTTTTATCAGTCTCTATTTACCATTTCACTTGTCATTTCTGTGTTCATAAATCCATCTGTTCAACGTTTTTTCTTTTTCCGCTTTTTCCACTAACTTTTTTTTTTTCTTTCTTTCGTTTTTGTTTTGTTTTGTTTTCTTTTCTTTTCTTTTCTTTTTGAAGTAAAGTAGAGGAGAAAAAAAAGTGGGTAAAAAGAAAAAAAAGAAAAGCAGATGCAAAAGTAAACCATTAGCAGTATCAACAATAACGACAAATAATAATAGTAATAGCAATAATAATAATACTAATAACAATAAAGCAACAACAAGAGGAACATTGTTTGCCAAAAGACTTATCAGAATCTTGAAAAACATCGAGTTATTTATGTGTATTTTGTCAGAAATTCATTGTCAACAAAAAGAAAAAAGAAGAAAAAAAAAAGACTAAGCAGTATAATTTAAGCAGAAAAAAAAAAAAAAAAAAAGGTG